CCCACCACAACGCCTAGCTATTTTTTGGTTGCAGCTGTCATTGTTGTTTGGCAGGCCCAGGCTGGATTCGAACCCACCACCTTAGGTGTATGTGGCTGGCACCTTAGCCACTTGAGCCACAGATACCAAGCTGGGCAAGTGATTCTTTTGTCTCAGCCTCCAAGTAGCTGGAACTACAGGTGCCCAGCACAACACCGGGCTATTTTTAGAGATGAGGTCTCACTCTGGCTGAGGTTGGTCTGTAACTCCTGAGCCCAGGCAATCCACCCTCTTTGGCTCCCAGAGTGCTGAGATTATAGGCACTTCGCCTGGCCTAAATTTTAATTTATTTGAAGGTTTCAAATGTACTGTATTTTAATAATGCCATATTTTAATGGGTACATAGTGCTTTTACTTGGCATCAATTAGAGTGGGTTCTGAAACAATTCAGTATTACACCAGCTGGGATGATTGCTGATCTGTCCTTTCTTTTGGGGTGACTCTGCCAGTAGGGGACAGGTTCCATTCTATTCCAATTTGTGTCACTGAATATGTCCATATAGCAATATAGAAGGAGGCTCCACTAGCTAATACAGCATTACCATATTTATCATATTTATCATGAAAATCGGGTGTTCATTTTTTTTTTTTTTTGAGACAGTCTCATTATCTTGGTAGAGTGCCATGACATCACAGCTCACAGTAACCTCGAACTCTTGGGCTAAAGTGATTCTTTTGCCTCAGTCTCCCAAGTAGCTGGGACTACAGGCGCCTGCCATAACGCCTGGCTATTTTTTGGTTGTAGTTGTCATTGTTTGGCAGGCCCAGGCTGGATTCAAACCCACCAACTCAGGTGTATGTGGCTGGTGCCCTAGCTGCTGAGCTACAGGCGCTGAGCCACCAGCAACTTAATATTGGAGTTGAGAGGTTAGGAAATTCACTTTGGGGTGGGAGAGCTAGAGGAAGGCATCATGAAGAGTTAGCTTTTCTGCAGTGCTTTCTAAAGCACTATTTTTATCAGGTGGTAAAAAGAAGAGAGAGATACTGAGGAAATAGCAAGAGTAATGACTTCCTTTTACAGCAGCTGACAAAGGAAATGCAAGTTTCACTTTTAAAATAAATTTTATTCCATTACTTTATTTGGGGGGCATAGGAGGTTCTTGTTATGTTGTCCAGGATGGATTTGATCTCCTGGGCTCAAGGGATCCTCCCACCTCTGCCTCAGGAGTAGTTGGGGCTACTGGCTCATGTCGCTGTGCCTGGGAGTTTTTAGTTCCGTGATGCCTTCCTCTAGCTGTCCCACCCCAAAGTGAATTTTCTAACCTTGCAATTCCAATATTAACTTGTTGATGCTTTGTCTGGAGAATTCTATCTCATGCTATGGTTGGTTGCTCTGCTGAGTGTGGTGGCTCTAAGCCTATAATCCCAGCACTCTGGAAGGCCTTCCAGAAATCTCACATGCTGATCAGTCTGGTTGCATTTCGTTAGTCAATTCATTCTTCTGTACTCCAGAGGGACTATTGCACACCTTCTCTTCCGTCCTCAAAACCTCCAGTATCCCTTCCTCTTTCTCAGTCTCAGCTGCTATTTATTTCACCAAGAAAATTGAAGCAATTAGAAGAAAAAAACTGGCTCAGCACCTGTGGCTCAAGTGGCTAAGGCGCCAGCCACATACACCTAAGGTGGCGGGTTCGAATCCAGCCTGGGCCTGCCAAACAAAAATGACGGCTGCAACCAAAAAATAGCCAGGCATTGTGGTGAGTGCCTGTGGTCCCAGCTACTTGGGAGGCGGAGGCAGGAGACTTGCTTGAGCTCAGGAGTTGGAGGTTGCTGTGAGTTGTGATGCCATGGCACTCTACCCAGGGGGACAGCTTGAGGCTCTGTCTCAAAAAAAA